CGCACACTCGCTACGGCTGCAACTGCACGACAGTTGATGCAGCATGCACTAATTAATTATTGATAATGCGCTGGCTGCTGGCTGCTTGCTGATGTTTCATCTGCCTCTGCTTGACAGTGGGGCCCTGCCACGCCTCCCAGCAGCTACACCCCCGCACAAGCGGGTCCCGGGCAAGTTTTGCAAATTACAAGAATTTCCGCACTCAGGGCACAGAAATAGATACAAAATGTGTATGTGTGTGCGTGTGTGTGTGTGTTTATTCGCTCATCTGCATCGTGTGTGTGTGTCTATCTAATGCAACTACAAATGTGGCAAGTGGATGGCGGCACAGTTGAGTGCTTCACATGGTGACAAACGTCGTTGTCGTCCTCGCAGTCGTCTTTGTATAATTTCCACAATAGCCAAGAAAATGCTCCTCGCTGCGCAGATACAAGATGTAAGATGCACGCAAACACACACACATACACAGCAAAGTTTACAGAACAGAGCAGTGCTGGAGCTGCAAGTGGCGGGGCTGCTGCTGGGTAGACCAACCTTCGTTGCATGCAAACACAAGCTACATCTACAGTATTCCCCACTTATGTGGATACACATAGTCATAGCCACATGTGCGAGTCGTTTAATTCGTGGGATAACGGCCGTCAAGGCGAAGTCGTCCTCACAGTCGCAGTTACATTTGCTATAAGCACCTACCCACCCACCTCTCTGCCCGCTTCTTCTTACAACCGACACACTCACACACTCGCACACACACACATCGGGTCACACTTGAACATTTGTCATGCCCATAATAAAGTACAGCGTAAAAGCTTTTGGGGTTGCGCTGCTCTTGCCTCTGCTTCTGCATCTCTCACTCCAGCGCTCTAGCTCGCTCTCTCTTTCTTTCACTCTCTTCTTCTACGTTCGCTCTCACAATTCCAGGCAATCGCGTGTCCAGGCAGCAACAACAACGACAAATTCCACCCAAAGCCGCAGTCGCGTCAGCAGCCCAACAACAACATAAACAACAACAAGCAAAGAGAATAACGAGAACCGTTTTAGTTTCTTTTTTGTTTTCTGCTGTTTTTTCCTTACTTTTTTCGATGATTCGTTTCTTTTTTTTTTGGTGGCAACTCTCCACACAACAAAAGCGATTGGACGACAACCAGGGCAACCAGCTCGAAGTGTTGCCAAATGCTCTCTGATAAGGCCCATTGCAGTCGCAAGTGAACCCATTTTGTCGCAGCGCTTCCGGTTGCAGTATTGCAAAGAGCTTTGTGTTAGTTTGCAAACAATATGTACACTCGCATAACATGTATGTATGTATGTGTATGTGTATGCACGAGGAATAACTGTCCTTCCCTTACGCCAACAGCTCGCAGCGACTGAAGGAACAGTTATCTTTTTTCATTATTTTGTTTTCTTGTATGGTTTGCCCAATGCGAAATACTTTTTAACTGTAAATTCTCTAAATACCCTTACATATCATGTAGCTGGCATATTGAATGCAACATTTGCTTGATCTAAATACAGTTACAGATTGTTAGCATACAATAACAGAATTCATCTTATAGATTGATCTAAGCTTACAGAGATCTAAACTTAAAAGACGAGGAGGAAAAAATTGATCAATTACATATGGAAAACCTAAATAAAGGCTACCCTAAACAAGTGTATAAGCAATTTCAAAAATACAACTTTTTCATGAATTAAATATATTTCAAATATTACAAAATTATGAAATGTTACTTTTTATGTAGAAAATATCTATATACATTTTTTATTGCAAATAGAATGAATTTCCAATATCGTTCACTTAGTCGTTGAAGTCTCAAGTAGAGAAAGGTACCACACAATGTAATCTAAAGAAATTCTTGTTTACTTCTATTCTACATTATTTGTATTACATATTTACCTGCATGTAAGGAACGCATACATTTAATTACAATTCTGTACGCATTAGACAGCTACACAATTAAATTCAATCAAAAGAGCTAATTAAAATTGTTTTGTAACTCTGGTCCGATGAAAACGAGAACAGAGAACAGAAAACAGAAATAAAACAACAATAACAACAACAAATTTTCCCCTCACAATCAAAACGAAAATGTACAAAATGCAATGGAATATTGTTTACCGTTAGCAGCGACGGCGACGCTGACAGCGCGTTACAAACAAGCACCCAACGAAACAACTTGTACTGCAGAGCGAGCGAGACAGCGACAGCGGCAGGCGACAGAGTGGGAGGCGATGAGGTCCAGTTTGGGGACTTTGCAATTCACACTCATCTTTAGCATTTGTAATTTTTCGTTGCTGCAGCTGCACAACATAAATTCAATTGTTGCCAATATTTTCAAAACGTTGCCAGAAGCAGCAACAACAACAACAATAACAACAACAACAACGGCATCATCATCAATACCGACAACAGCAAATTCAATTTTCATTTATCCATCGGCTCATCTATCCATCTATTCGACTGCCTATTGCTATCTCGCTCTGTCCCCCATTTGTGGCGTGTGATTTTTTGCACTTTCAACTGTGCAGTTGAAATGTGCTTTGCGTGTGTGAGTGAGTATGCGTGTGAGTGCGCCGAAAACAAATAAAATGTGTGGCTGTGCATTACAATACAATGGTGGGAGGGGGAGGGTGACAGTTCTGCCCATCACCTTTCCAAACCCAATATCCAATTAGTGGGCAGCTCCCCTCCCCAAACTGATATCAGTCAGAGCCAGTTTTGATTCCCACTTTCATTGTTCCAACGGGCCTCACGACGTTTGCTTTTTATGGCCTCTCGATGCTACTGTTGTCGCTGTTGTTGTTTTTGTTGCTGTCTGCATTCGGCATTTGCCATTTTGTATGTCTTGCTGTTGCTGTTGTTGTTGTTGTTCTGTCCCGAACTCTTCGCTTACGCTGCCGCTTATCTGCCATTAAACGACGCTGCTGCTGCTACTGCTGCTGCGCTGCCCTCAACTGCACACTACGCTTCACTTTGCTGTGCTCTGCTTTTGCTTTAGCTTAAACGTTCGTCGTTTCGATTTCGGTTGCCCGATGCCATCGCCGTCATTCCCGTTCCCATTTTGTACCCGCGCGCATCTCTCGAGTGGGAGCCCAAGGTGCAACATTGGCAACGGGCCTGGGCCTGGGCCAGCCAGACGCGCCGTGAAACAAATGGCAGGCACTGTAGTAAGCATGCACGAGCTCTCTCACTCACATACACACACTCTCGCACACGCACACACACATGAATGAACACACATGCATGTATGTATGTATGTAGGTATCTGTAAGTATGTGACGTTTCTGCCGCAGCCATCGCCACCTGCCATTTGGGGGCGCAGCATTTGTCGCCATTTATTTACACGATTAGAAATCGATTTTATGCGTTTGGATAATATTTCGAATGTAGAGAAACACATACATATGTACAACAATAGACATTGTGTATGTGTGTGTATTTATACATATGTGTACATACAGACACACATACATAGCATGTATTGGTCGTCATTAAAATGATTTATGTCAAACATATCGAAATGAGGGTTGCGAAATCGATTTGTGCGTGTGTGACAACAAGGCGTATCACACCCACAATTACCTTCAACATTCTAGAAACTGTGTAATCTAAAAAAAAAAAAAATAAATAAAATACAATAGTAAAAAGATACCTAACAAAAGCAAAACAACTTAACTAAAAATTACTATCAATTAAATTAAGCCGTACGACTAATTAGCGCAGGCGCAAGCAGCGAACCGTTAATATGCAGTAATGCTCAAGTACAATCAGAAAGCTTAAGAATTGAACACAAACAAAGCTCGTGCTAGCCCTGCATTGGCTATTCGACATGCTTACTCACTCACAGAAACGAGTTAAAGCTAATTGATTAATAACTTTCGAACGAAAAAAAGCTTAGGCATACGTTTAAAACAACTACAACATTCAGCAGTTCCAGTCTAAGCACACTGGCTGGAGGGGAACTGTGAGATTGGGCCGTAAAAGAATCGAAAAAAAAATAAAATAAAAAGATGGCAAAATCCAAATTCAATCCACTTCGTGGCGCTGTGCCCGACATAGGCCAAATACTAGACGTCGTATAACAACAACTACAATACACCCACATTGCCAATTTTAACACACATGCACACACAACGCACACACACACCCAGCAAAGTTCGTGAGCAAATCTCAAATTAAAGCAAGCAGAGTCAACGACGACGCAGCGTCGCTGCCGTAGTCGACGCTCCGCTGCGTTGATGGATTGTAGTCCGCAAACATACACACGCACACACATTTGAGTTCATATAAATATATATACACTCACGCATAGCCACGACGGGCCGAGAAAAATACAATCCAGTGGAATCGTTTGGCCGGTGACTCTTTTGGCTTGTCTTATGTTCCTTGGTCACCTCCCTCTCTCTCAATCCACAAACTCACTCACGTGAGTGTGTGTGTGTGTCGTGTGCCAATGCTCATGGCGTTCACTGTCCCCGAGACCAAAAAAAATAACAAAACAAAAAATTACATACTCTCCGGAACGAAACGAAATGAAATAGAAGGCACAACTCTGCTGCTGCTGCTGCTGCCACTGCTGCTGGTACTCTTCTTTTTCTTTGGTATATTATTTCTACCATTTTTTTTATTGCTTGGGGCGGTCGACTTGTGCGTGAATTGGCTCTCACATTTCTTCCCTCAAGACTTTACGAGAATCCGTTTCAATCCCTCTGTTTTTAAGGTGTTTAATTTATGTGACCCCCACCTCCTTTTATTATTTTTATTTTTTAGGGAAAAGGAACATTTCTAGTTCCGTTTCTCATGTCCAACTTCGTTCCATTGTTGTTGTTTCGCCACAGAGCACAGCAATATTAGGTTCCTCCCCACAAAGGAACGAAAAATTGCGAGCCGGCAACAAAAAAAAATGCGAATTCGAATAGAAATTGTGCGTAACACCCCACATTTTGGGGTAAAATTTGGTGAGCAATGCGGCCAAGCTGTTGTCTTGTTGAAAAAAATTTACCTGTGTCAAGTAAAACGCTGCTCGACGGCTGCTGGTTTGCTTATCGGCGTCCTCGCTTTGTTGCGCACTTTCGTATTTTGTTTGTCTGCTTCTCTGCTTCTGCTTTTCTAAAACACTCGCACAGAAACGAAATTTGGCGATTGCGTAGCTTTGGGCCTGCCCGCAATTCCCATTTGATTTTCATCGGCTTTCCCTTTTTTGGCAAACAATTTCATATGCTCAATTCACCTATTCCCCTTATTTTTGCCCGCACTCACATATACACAGTTTCGCGGGCACACGCATATGCATACGCACACATGCACACATCGATACGGGGCAATAATTTTCGCCGTGGGCGTTTTTCTTCACATTTGCTTTTTTAAAATTTGTGTATTTTTTCATTTATGTTGCCATAACTGTTACAAGTGCAGCCGCCCACAATGCTTAACGTGCATCGGTTTACGACAGTTTTCACTGTTCACTGCACATAGTATTTGTATGTATGTATGTATATAATTTGTAACTTGAAAATAATGCTTGAAATTTGCAACACACTCTTTTCGCACTTTCGCACTGCCGTCAATAAAACCGCGCGTGAACCGCACGACAACCGAAACGAAAATGAACCGATGCAATAATATGGCAACTGAAATGAAGTGGAATTGAGTGCGTCCGACGTCGGCAGCGCTGCCCAAAAGAGAGCGTGACAGAGTTGAATTTTGAGTGTAACAAACACTACGAAAATGTTTTATATATTTTTGTTAAATTAAGAGTTGAGTGTATTTCGTATAATGAGCCAGATAATTAACTAATATTGGCACATGAGATACTATATATTTTATTCAGTTCGATGTTGACTTGATTAGCATACATATATGAGTGAAAATGTTGTTTGAGTGCGAGTGTGGGTCTAAGCTCAGCTCAGCATTGTTCTCTTTCATTTATTTTATCTTTTCATTACATATGAATGTGTGGAGTAAAGATTTGAAAAAATAAAAACAAGTCAATTCAAAAGGCACTCAATAACGCTGTTATTTAACATGTATCTGTTAAGACAGTTAACATAAATGGGTGAAGCAATAAATTGACCTGCTTAACTCAAGCCAAGCCTGAGTCTATTTTTTTATTTTTATCAGTGAACTCAAGTATTACATTTTTTTTTACACTTTTGGGTTGAGCGCTGTTATTGAAATTTCAATTGGTATTGCTCGACTGATAAATACATATATTTTTGGTATATATCTGTAAATTGAGTCAATGCCACCCGATTCTATAAACATTATATATACTGTATCTCAAGCAATCTTAGATTTGGTATATTCATTTACAGTTGAAAGATTAGTTAACAATGGGGGTCGGCAAAATGAAATGCTTAAAAGTTAAAGGTCAGTGGATGCACCGCAAAGTAGCCTTTGCTCTTGGCCACCTGCTTGGAGAGTCGCAGCAGGTTGTTATCGTTGTTTATATAGTTTCCATTGAAGATCTCCATGGCAAGACGCATCACATCGTCGCGCCCCTGCGAGCAAATGGCCGTAGCGGTTAGCAGTTCGTGATCGGCCAGCGGCAGACCGATGCAATAGGAGCGCGAGGCACGCGCTATACTCGCCCACATGGCATAGATGATGGTTGCAATGTTTGCCAGGCGCTGCAGCTCGTGCTGCCGCTCTACAACGGCGTTGCCATATCGTGTGAACATCAGCTCCACGGCCATGTTCAGGCGGGCCACCGAGTGCTCAATATACTGAGCAGGCGCCTCGAGTGTGGGATGCACATGCTCCGCCAGCCGCATTTTCGTCTTGGGACTCTCCAGGCTGGCTGAGCCCAGAAATTTGCTAAAAATCGCGCCGGGATTGAAAAGCGGATTGCGTAGCTTGCTGATGCCCTCATTCATGCGAATCTATCAATGGCAAGAGAAGCGAATGAGATTACTTTGCTCCAATCGATTTCACTGCATACTCACGCCCGCATGCTGCAGTCCAGACAGCGCTATGAACATGCTCAACGAGGTCAACGATTCGCCCTGCGTGCACAGCTGAGCGCTGTCCCTCAGCGCCAGCTCCGCTGGCTGTCCGCTGTGCAGACTCGCCGGCCCGAGCAGGCTCAGGTTCTGCGTGGAGATTGCGTACAGCTGCTGCAGCGTGTAATATTTCGTGATGGCAGTCTCCAGCGTCACATCCTGGTTGTTAAACTCGTCCATCAGGCCCGCTGTCAGATAGAGCATGCTCTCCATGGCGTATATGGAGCACATTGCTTGCGATAGGTTCACCTTGGCCAGATCCAAATCTCTGCAAGAATGAGAATATTATTTAGCAACAATTTGACTAAAGGATCTCCCTCACTTAAGGGAGGATGAGCATGAGGATACTCTAGCTGGCAGGAGCTGTCCTGGCTCTGCCGTTCCACGTACTTGATCTGCACGCCACATTGAGTTGTCTCCACGCTGAACTTTGTCAGGTGATTTAGCAGCCGCTTGGATAAACCGATGCCGAGCAGGGTGCTCCGCAGTCGACTGAAGCGCATCAGCTGCTCCGAGTGACGATTGCCCTCGTAAGCCTGGCCCAATATTTGCTGACTGCTTAATTGCACCTGGTCGAAGTGAATGCGTCGCATGACCGCCTCCCGGCAGCCGAAGGTGGCATGCGTCTCGCCGAGGCGCACACCTGGCTGCTGGCCATCGACCAGAAATAGGGTCAGCTCACGTCCCAGTTCGCCGGGCACATTTATATTCTGCGTCTGTGCGAGCACAAGGAACAGCTGACGTGCGCCGGGTGGAGGCATAACGACGAATGCCTTTTCGCCGTTAAGTGTCCAAGTGTGGCTCTCCAGATCGTAGCTGGCCTGGGTGCCAAAGAAGTCGTTTTCGGGCGGTGCGTACTCGAAGATGGCATCGCTGGCTATCAGTTTGCCGCTGCCCAGTTCCGGCAAGTATTTCTGTTGCTGCTCCGGTGTGCCTAGTTCTCGCAGCATGTCCACCACGACGCGATGCGTCTGCAGGCCGAGCGCCAAGCTGGTGTGGCTCGACTCTGGCTCACTGGCCATGAGACTGGCGCTCCAGGCGTACCCCTTGCCGTCATAATCTGTGGGCACGTTCAGCCCGTAGAGACCGAGCTGCTGCAGATTCTCCAGCGAGTGGGGCTGGAGAGGAGCCTCTGCAAAGTAATCCTTTACCGGCAGCAGCGCGTTTTGCAGACTGGCCATATCCTCGCGAGCAATGACCTCTGGATAGCCAAGCAGCTCCTTGTCCGCCAAACCCACAAAGAAGTTCTTGACCAACGGTTCACGTGCCGGCAAACCTTGTTGCGCTGCAGCGCTCGCCTCCTCCGGCGCTCGACTCTCCTCAGCCCATTGCTGTGCGTTGACGCTGCTGTTGCTTGTGGCGGTCGCTTTGCTGCCTGCGCTGCGTGCTAACAGAAATGTTCCGCATCTATTGTGATTTTTATTTAATATTCTAACAGCACGCGAAAACAATTGGTAGCGCATCTTGCATTAGGTAATGTGAACGAACAATAGAGATGCACATTCTGTATTTATATTCATTTGCCGTTTTCGATAGTAACATCGTTATCGATTTCTCGTGCTGCGGTATTTTTTATAAATCAGTATATTGCATATATTGAAGTTCAATTTGAATTAGGTAATGTAATAAATAAAGATGGATAGATAATACTTTTATTTAAATATTTGGCAATTAAGCGTAACTGCCATTATATATTTGGGATATTACCGGTCTTGAACGGACCATCGAGCTGGCCAAAGTAATGTCACTGACCAAAGTGGTCAGTGGTAATGTACACGAATATCAACGTATCGATAGTATGTTAGTCGATAATTATGGCGTGCGCCTAATTATTTCAAATTACATTTTAAAGAATATTTTGAGAACACATGCGTCTATAACAACTTAGATCTAATTGCTGTTACATATTGTCTTGATCTTAATTAGTTTTTTCTGATATAATGTCATCAGGGAAATCCATTTTTATGGCAGATTTATGCAAGTTGATTTGGAGTTTATGTCTTTGTTCATTTGCACTGATCCAAGCATGTGCTTGACTCACAATATCCTCATTAATCAAGGGACAGCACATAGATAGTTTGCAGTCGTGGCAGTCCTTTTATCAGCTCCAAAAACTGACCATCCGTAATCCAAGGCATCAGCATGTGAAGCTTTTCCAGCTGTTGCAGCTTAAGGAATTGCTCAATGGGTGTTTGATCACAGCAGATATCCAGTTCCCCGGTTATCCGGACCCCGCAGTACCAGCCCTTCTAGCTGCAGTGGAATGAGACTTTCCAGCAGCCTGGAGCGCAAGGCGCCCGCATCGATTCTCAGCGACAGATGCTACAGCTGGCTGAATTGACTCATAAGCTCCGGGCACAACAACTCCTTGTATAGGGCGAATCGTTCCAGGTGTTGACAGTTCCGAACGATGATCTCCAAGTGGCCCATTTGGTGTTGCTGTTCGAAGATGAGATGCGGTAGTTAACAGAACTGACGGTGGAATACATCGCTTCATAAGTAATAAAAATGCTCGAGGGGATTCACTTTAAAAGAAAATGTAAATCAGCTGTGAGAGAGCGCGCAATTGCAATTTCTTCTGATTATAATTGAGGGAATGAAAGGAAATGGAATTGCAGTCGTAAGAGCGCGCAGTTTGAAATTTGAAATATTGAACGAATTTAATTGCAAATTGAATTTTTATGATGTATGAAATGATGACATACTTTATAGAAATTCTTGATTTATAATTATATTCATTAAAAATTTTTTTAATTTTTTTAAATTTAAAATTCAGTAAAAAAACAAAATACAAATAAAAACAGTTTTTTTTCATTTGGATTAAAAACACAAAACCCTTTATTTGATTCATTTTGTATATTGGTGTTATATAATTGCTATTGACTGGGCACATTAAGCTCTCTACTTAAAACAGTTAAACGAATAAAGAAACATTTGTTTTTGTTTTAGTGTGTGTTTTTTTTTCATTTTCATTTTATTTTTTTTGTATTTTCTGCTGTTAGTTTCACTTGTTTGTGTGGAACTATTGTCCTTTTTGTATATATTCTTCTTTTTTTTTTTGTTTTTGTTTTATTGTTTACCACCTAGATTGAAAATTTTGTTAATAGCGGTAGTTAGTTATACATAGTTATAGTCAGGTATCAATGGAAATAAGAGTTTAGTATTAGAATATAACACAGTTGTAGTATGTACACACGCAGACGTATATGTGGCACAGGTAACTACATACCTGCGCCTATTCCTATATCGCATACCAAGTGGTATACACACACTAACTATAGCATTATTATTGAAGTACAGTTGTGCTTGAAAGCTGCTCGATTCAATTACGAGAACATATATACAGTACATATATATGGATGTACATATATATTTATATATATTTACTTGGCAAATTTTTCAAGCACTTATTGCATATGCAAAAGATTGAAAAAATAAAACAATCAAACAAAAACAAACTAAATTATCATTTAAATTGCATTTGTTGTAATGAACAAAAAACAAACAAACTAAATTTGTTTAATTGTGTTTAACTAAAGAACTATATATGTTATATAGAAATACCTCATCATCAAGCAGCTCATATCGTATCACAGGCACGCTTTCAAGAAAACTCACTCATTACAAAAAAAAAATAATAATAAAGAGAATTAGAAAGATATTTAAATAATTGAGAAATTCGCAAAGAACTCAATTTCAATTTGATCAGAACTATAGACGAAGAATCTACGCTTGTAGATCGCACGCTACGCTAACAACAACGATCGATATGAGCTGGCCAACACACACACTCACACACACCCATACACACACAACTTTCCAAATATCTTGTTTCGGTAAACACTTCTAGAGACACATATTTAGAAATGTGAATCAGATATATCTTATTCCATCTGATATACATCAATTTGAAAACGTTAAACATTTGAATAGATGATAAACTTGATAGGGCTTTTATGATATCGAAACTAAGGCAGAGATAGACATAGAATCTCTAAAAATGTATAGATTATTATTCTAGATTTAGATTTAGCTCTGCTTAAATAATGTTTCCCGTCTCTTAGCCAAATCAAATTTATGGTTAAACAAAATTAAATTAGTGTTAGAAGTTGCCTACGTCAATTGGATAAATTTGGCAAGGGCAATTGAATTCGGTTCTCTTTTAGATGCTGATAGATATCCCATTCTTGCTGCCCCATTTGATAAATTCATTCACACACACACACACACACACACTTATTCACTCATTCGCACTCATTTCTATATTCGTATTGCATATGATTTGTTGTAACTAATTCTTAGTATTGCTATGCGGAGCTGCTGCAGCTGCGGCTGCTCCTGCCGAGAGTTAGCTGCCCATATTATTGTGGACCTCCAAGGATTCAGTGTAAATTGAGATATTTCTTTGTATCGTTCTTTTCTTTTTTTTTTCTTTTTGTTTTTGTTTTTGCTTTTGTTTTGTTGTTGGCCCCTTTACAAACAGAGATAGAGTTAGAGATAGAGATAGATAGAGAGTTGGTTGTGTTTAGCTGTACATCGAAATGTTCTCTTTCAATTTTAAACTAGAGGCCTTAAAGTGACTTTAACAGAGGCCGGGCTGGGCTGGGCAGGTCAGAGTAGAGTAGAGTAGAGTATAGTTAGAGTAACTAATGAAGCGGTGTGTAAATTGCCGGAAATTTGTCTCGATTTCCGCTGTTAGGGTTGCCTGCCTACAGTTGATATCTGGGACAGTGTTGCCAGAGTTGCCAGCGCAGCTGCAGCTGCTTCCAGAGGCGCCGCATCATGTCGCCGCCGTTGCCACAGCTGTGGCCGCTGACACCAGCCACGCCCAGGACGTTCAGCAACTACTAAATCTTGCCGGGACTCTCCTGTCGCGCACTGTAGCGCGGCTCCTGTGGCATCAGCGTGTCCGTCACCAGCTCATTGGCCGCCTCCACCAGGCCCTTGGCGTGCGCCGCCGCCGTATCGCAGTCCGTTCGCCGTGAGATCAACAGCCGAATGTCCGTGTGCAGCGACAGGCGACCCGATCGAGATGTCTGGAATCTGTAAGCCACAGAGATACAAACATTTCAATACATTATTGCATTCAATTGAGCTTAATCTAATCGAGGTTTATCTCCCAACCCAAAATACAAATTCATTCCGTTCTTCTTGCTTCTTGCTTCTTGCTTTCTTTGCATTTCTGCTTTCTTTTCTCCTCCCACTTCACTGACCTCAGGTGGATGGAGTAGCGCAATCGCTTCATCTGCTCGGCGGTAATGAAGTGTCCCAATTTGCTGGTGGTGCTCGTCGCCGCTGTCGGGCTGCTCGGCTCACGTGCGCAAGGCTTTGGCTGTTGGCTCTGCAGCGCGATGCCGTTGACGCAGGCAGTCGCGCCTGGTAGCTCCTCGGCCAAGATGCGCTGGCGTATGAACGTGCGATGCAGCGGCGGCATATCGCGCATGTCGTACGGAATGACAAACATCCGCACCACCGTGCCCATGGGATTCAGCAGCGTGGCCTGCACAGTGCCCGATCGCGGCACAAAGTAACCTTTGCGTGGCAATCGAATCTCGCACTGTAATGAGAGCCAAATCATTGAGAGAGTCATTTAGTGTTTGGGCATTCACAGATATCAAGCCGGGAGTACGCACCAGGTAGGGCGTGCTGAGCGTCTCGCCGTGCAGCTCATAGAAGTACGAGGAGGCCGGAATGGTTAGCTGTGTGGGACAGAAGCCGCCCGACGCGCCCAGCTGCAGACGAAAGCCCGCCACCTCGATCTTGGGCAGCAGACGCTTCTGCAGCAGCGACTCCTCCAAGTTGCCAAGCAGCGGTCGCCCCCCGAACTGTGTGGCCAGGCGCGCGCGCGACTTCAGCGGCGAGCCAGCCGGACTGCACATGCCCGACTCGAGATCCTCGTCCGACAGCTGCTCGTCGGAGCCCAGCGAGCTGCGATCCGAGCGATCGCTCAGATGGCGCGAGCGTCGCTTATAGAACGCCGCCTGCTTGGCAAAGCGCGGCGACACGGACAGCGCGTTGGGCAATGTTGGCGCCGAATAGGACTTCTGCACGGGCAAATTGCCAGCCACCGGCTCCGGTGGCGTCAGCAGCGACGCAGACTGCGACTGCGACTGCGATTGGGCATAGGTGAGTGCTGGCGTCTCGAAGCAAAAGGCCAGGCTGCTGTCAATCGTAATGGGCGCCGAGCTGCTGCTGCCGCTGCCACTGCCGCTGCCGCTGCTGCTGCAGAAGATCGTTGTCAAGTTAACCTTGGGCAAGGCCTTGCGCAACAGCGGCGAGAGCAGCGGTGGCGGCGTCTCCCTGTCGAGCATGGAACCATTGCAATTCAGCCGCAGCTGATTCGCCGCTTTGGCAGGCAGATGCGCCAACTGCTGCTGCTGCTGCTGCTGCTGTTGCTGTTGCTGCTGGGGCAGAAACTCCTGCAGCTTGAGCGGCACATGGCTGATGGGCGTCTTGAACTGCACCACAATGCGCTCATCCAAGACACAGCTGGCAGCCACATCTGTGGGCGTCTGACAGCGCTCCTGGCCAGCATTCAATGAGCAGCGGTCGATGTTGGGCGTCAGCTTTGTCGAGGCGCTCTGCAACAAGAATGAATGGATGAGGAATGCATTAGGAATGGGCATATGAATGAGGATGGTCGTGGATTGATTTACCAATGCCAACTCTTGCTCCATGCTGTTGTCCTCGTCTTGGTCCACGCTGCCGCCGTCCTTGCTGTGCCCATTCGTACCATTTGAGTGAAGCTCTGCCTGCTGCTGCTGTTGTTGTTGTTGCTGATCTCCTCCAGCTTTGCCGTTGGCAAAGTTGTGCTGCGTCTTCTGGCGTTTGCACACCTGACAGCCGCTGCTTGGCGCCGGCTTCACTTGATTGTTGTTCTGATTGCTACGACTCTGACCCTGCACTAGACCAACATTGAGATCGTTACACGTTGCTCCCGCAGCTGCTCCTGCTCCTCCTGCTGCTGCTGCTGCTGCTTTTGGCATCGGCTTGCGGTTCTTTGGCGTACGCTGTATGGCCTGCAGTAGCAGCTCGGCCTTGCTGCGCGGCGTGCCGACAATGAGATCGAAGCTGCTCAAGCTGCAGCTGGATGTGTCCTCCATTTCGGAAGCACTCGTATCGCCAGCATCGACCGCAGCATTCCCGTTGCCATGCTCGCAGTTCAAGCAGAGCAGCGTCTTCTCGCTGCCGCACTGCTGGCAGCTGCTCAGCGAGGTTTGTGTGCCCGTCGAGATCATGGCAATGCGACGCGGCGCCGCCAGCACTGTGAGCGCCATTGCCTGCGTTTGCGTCTCCTCGTTGCCCTCGTCCATGGGCTCCATGGACTCCAGCTGCTCAGAGGGTTTGCGTTCACGCTTCTTGTCGCGTCGCTGCATTCGCTTGCGGTACTTTTGCAGCTGCTTCTCCCGATGCCCGTCCAAATCATCCGCCTCCACCGCCGCCTCCTGTTGCCTGTTGGCCCCATATTTATCACAGCTGCTAGCGGGCGGCGTTGTGCTTATCACAATTCGTGCACCCAGCCCAGTGGGCGTGGCCGCGCACATGCCACCGCCGCCAGTGGGCGTACTGGCCGCCGGCACAGGTCGCGCCACCCGCGGCTTGGCCACCGACGGCGACACGTGCGGCAGGCCGCCATTGAACCGGGGCAAACTCTTCACACAGACCGCAACGCTGAAGTTCTCGGCGATGTTGACGTGCGGAAAGTTGTGCACATTCGCCTTGGCGCTGAAGCCGCCGTCGCTGCAATTGGCATTGCTGCAGCTCAGATCGTGTGGCCTGATCCTGTAGAAGATGTTGAGACGCGGTCGTCGCGTCCGAGCTGCTGCGGCTGCTGCTGCTGCTGCACCACTTTGCCCGGCCAGATCACCCGCATTGCTGCTGTTGCCGCTCGCAAAGATCACGCGTCCACTGTCATAGACCGAGGGATCGCATTTGCGCAACAGGTCGCACCAGGCCACGATCTGCGAAAAGTAAAGCTGGCTGCGAATCGCGCTGCACAGCGACGGCAGCGTCATTGTCGGCGGCGGCACTCTGCAAGAGTAGTCAAGATTTAGCAGTAGAACAAACAATGAAGAGGGACTAGGACTAGAGACTATATTAGACCATGATGAATTATGAGGAAATGTCTAAACTAAGCATATATATAGTAAATAAATAAATCTCATATCTCCCATATGAGAAATTGCCTATACTAGGCAAATATATCTCATGTAAATTCGAGGTCTGCATGAGAACTGTGAGGAATTGGTATATATCTAATAAAAATTAGAGATCTGCTTGACTTTACGCTCGTAACATAGGACACTCAAAGGACCGTCGTTATACGCGGAAGACGCTATATAGGCTCATTCATATAAGTTTGTCTGGGCACCAGAATTTGGTCGCAATAACCGTACAGACGCTATAAGCGGAGTCGTTATAAGCGGAGTCGTTATAAACGGAGTCGTTATAAGCGGAGTCGTAATAAGCGGAGTCGTTGTAACCGGATCGTTCGGGTCATAATTGAACTCTCCCATTCAGTCAAAGTTGGCTTCGCATTCATTCATTCAATGCATTCTGCGCATTATATTCTAATGTGACATTTATTTTGCCAGCGCTATCTAATAAGATCTTTAATATACATATGTGTCTAACATAGATATCTAACAAAGATCTCTAATATAGATCGCTTATATAGATCTCTGACAGAGATCTCTAAAATAGAGCTCTAATATAGATTATAAAACAGATCTCTAACACAGATCTCCAATACAGATCTGTCTCTACAATAGACCTCTAATATAGATCTCTATAATAGACCTCTACCATAGATCTCTAATATAGATCGCTTATTTAGAATATCTCACAGAAATTTCTAACACATATCTCTAATACAATTTCAGGTCTAGTTTGGGGCTTCCACACATACTTCTCCTTGCCGCTAATGATCCATTGCTCCAGCAGAATCTTATGGCCGGCTGGCCCCAAATAAACCTCGATGCAGACGGGCTCGCGGCGTGCCAGGATGGCCTCCATTTTCATACAGTGGGCTCGCCAGCGGGAACACTGTAAAAACGCAAATGTTAGTCAAGAGAGAAACAGAGAGAGAGAGAGAGGGAGAGAGACAACTCACGGTTATATTAACGTAAGACATATCACAGAAATGTTCCTCGGTATCAGCGATGGAGTCGCCCTTGGCGAGGCCCATCTTTCTGAGGAACTGATCACAGTGTGGCCCGTGTTTGGGCCGTGTGGTGCAACTGGAGCTGGAACCTGAACTAGTTCCGTTTCCAGCTGCACTGTTGCTGGCAGTGGCTGTTGATGTGGCTGCTGCACCTCCGACTACTCCTCCTCCAACTCCAACTCCAACTCCCACTCCCCCTCCTCCTCCTCCTCCACCACCTACTCCTCCTGCAGTTGCACCACCCAACGTTGTCCGGCTGCAGTTGTAATCCAGCAGGCTGGCCGCGCTCACTGTTGCTGTTGTTGTTGGCGAACCAAAGCTCAGGCCTAAACCCAGACTTAGAGGTCGCGTCTCGGTGGTCACGGCGGGTCCTCCCCGCAGACAGGTGGTGGCCAGCGATTGCAGCGAGTGCAATATATTATCCGAGCCAGGCGAGCTGCCAGCACTAGAGCTATTGTTGGTCAGAGTCTCTCCAGCTCCAGTTCCCAAGCCTCCTCCACCAGCCGTTGCGCCAGCCCGATTCAACATGACGCGACGCACAATCTCAAAGTCACCGCGATCCGCATTCAGGTCATTTATGGACAGCGCCACCAGCTCCGGCTCTGCGCTCATGCTCTGAGCTGCCGGCGACACCTGACGCAGCTGACAGAGCTTTTGCGTCCAGCGTTGATGCGTGACGCTGCTGGCGCTCGAGCCATTGCTGGCGCTGCCGCTGCCACTGCCACTGCCACTGCTGCTGCTGGTCTGTCCATAGTCACAGTTGTATCCATATCCATATCCCTGAGCCTGGCCATAAGCGGAACGTGGCGTTCCGCTGGCCATTGCATACGGATTCGTTGTTATATTGATGGCAGCCCGTGATGTGGAGGGGCGTGGCGAATGGCGGCCGCTGCTCGACGCTGGCTGATTTTGATGCTGTTGCTGCTGCGGCTGTCGCTGTTGCTGCGGCTGCGGCTGCGGCTGATGTGGTTGTTGGTACTCATCGTCAGATATGGGCCTGCCCTCCAGTATGAGCGAGGCCAGGCCCAGCACAATTGAATTGTAGTTGCTCTGCTGTGCTGCCGCCGACGATGCCGCTGCCGCTGCAACCGCTGCTGTGGCAGCAGCAGCAGCAGCTCCGCCGACAGCAGCTGTTGCTGTGCCTCCGGCTCCATTCTGTGCCAGGCCAGCGGCTGGCGGTGAGTTGGTAACGCTTGTGGGTATCATATGGTGGTGGTGGTGGTGGTGTTGTTGCTTCTGCTTCTGCTCCTTCTCCTCCTCCACTCTCAACAGAATTCTCCTCTCACTTGTATACTTCTGCTGCGCCTACTGATTCTCTTCCCCTTTTAGATGTGGTTGTCGTCCGCTCGCACCTGCACCAGAAGTACACTGCAAATGCGGAAAGAGAGAACAAATTGTGTGTGATTAGTTGAGCTGTTCAAATGAACTAGTGTACTGAACTAGTAAACGTTACTCAGTTTCTCAGTTACTCAATCGTTTATATATGCATAAACAAATTAATTTGAGTCAGTTATGAGTAACGTTCTCTATGCGGAATTAGTCAATCGTTCATTAATGATTCCATGCATGAACTAGGTCAGAAAAACTGTATAGCTGAGCCATTTCAGACTATAATAATATATGAGCATATTAATAACCTATTTACTGTTTGATATTGTTTCCCGTTAAAAAATTGTATTTAGCTCTATCTGGAAAAAAATCTTAAATTCATAATTCTAATATATGAAACACAAATTGCTTCCATCTAGCTTCGCTTCATCATTTATTTCCCAACATTTCATAGATTGTAAAAGCCCAAGCTTAAATTTTTTCATTTTACAATCATGAATAGTTTTAATATTGATTGCAATGGTCCCGCACATACACACATATCCAACGTCTATGTATATGAGAAGAAAAAAAAAAAGTAAATACAAGTATACGAAATGGCATTGGGAAAATGCAGCTTGAATGTCACCAGCTTTTGGATGGAAACTAGGTCAACTGAGGCACCCTGTAAGTCAAATTGAATTATGCTATGAAGGTCCCCCTGTATACGCACACAAATACATAAGCATGTACAAATATGTATATATATACTAGGTATCTTTATATATATTATATAAACTGATAGAAATTTACTTTGGCCTAGATCCTGAGGTTCTGTTGCATTTGTTTGCAATTGCATTACATGCGTTTCGCTGTAGACGGCGACATACTAACACGGCCTCAAAAATGTGGCACCAAAAAAAAAAAACCAGGCAACCAGGTCGTTACTTAATCAGGCAGCTGTTGCTATGTCAGAGAACAGCACAGCGAAACCAGAAACAGAGAGGGTGGGAGGCAATATGCATTTGGCTCTGCAGTTTTTCAATCTGCCAGTAGCAACAGCACATGTTGCTAACGCTGTGACGTCATTTAATATAGCAAAAGCTAGGCTTAGTTGCTAACATGTTGCTAACATGCTACTTTTTGTCCATATAAACAATTTGCAATGTTTCGAAGGTCAGACAAGTAGAGGAATTGCAACAAAAAATTACTTAAGTCGCGCTTGGCAACAAATGCTCAATTCAAATTGCTAAAAACAGCTGTTCAGTATTTGTGTTAAATTTTTTAATGCATGTGTTGCCCAACACGTTGGCAGCATGTTCTCAAAACCAACACAAATGTCAGAGAGCACGCTTTCATCGCTCTCTGCCTATCTGTGTGTGTGTGTGTGTGTCGCTCTCTGCCTCTCAGTCAACTGGTAAACATGTTTGTCTTTACTTTTGCTTTTGTTTTTGCGTTTCTTCTTGACCTGCATACACAATATATAACTAGCGCGCGAGACGACGCTTGTATGCTTGTGTGCGTGTGTGTCTGTGTTTCACAGAGTATAAACCTTACAGAAAGAGAGGCAAGTGCCTGAGTGACTACTAATGTGAGTGTGTGTTTGTATGAGAGCACTGTTAGAAAACATATGATTTTTGTATTGGTTGCTCGCAATCAGTTGGTAATGTTTGCTCACACGTATTTTGAGCGTAGATGTGAGCGTAAGCAGTTTTGTTTATGGTCGCTCGCGTCTACACACATATCTACATATGTATACACTTGGCCCACAATAGACAAGCATTTACATATATGTACGCACACACACACTCGAAAACATAACAGCTTGTACGAAAATGAGGGCAAGCGAATGGAACGTAACAGCCCAAACAACAAAAACCGCAACAGTAGCACCAGCGGAGTTTAATAATATTTGATTACATTATCGCATTTTCGCTTTTACTCATTTTTTTCGGTTTATTTTATGTTGATTTTTTTTTTTTTTTTTGCATTAATTATGTTTTCTTTTATTTATATTTTTATTTACTAGGTCTATGTATGTATATATTCGTATTTATATACATTTGAACACATGTGTTTTTTTTTCTTTTGGGACCAGGAAAGAGCCCGATATAAATCATTTAAAATATGACGCAGTTTAAATCGCTTACAGCTCGTGGCGGAACGTAACAAAATGAAACGTGGCAGTTCGCTAGAGAAACTAATGGAGGTGGGAGGGAAAGAAGAATTGCGATGGCTGGCTGTGTGTACATGTGTGGGTTGCTAGCTGAGATTAAGTGAACGGCATTTTGGCAACATACTTAATCAATTGCACTTTTTGTTTTCATTGTGAATTAATTAAATTTCGCTTTGGTCGCCGTCCTTGGCATGCTTTTGATTTTGCAATAATCGTTTGTGTGTCAATGCATGTGTTGTATCTCTCTCTCTCTCTCGCTCGCGTTTTCTAGGTACATATACATAAATATGTATGCATGTACATAATATATGCATATATGCGTTCTGCCTATTTAATTCACTTTATTTTTTTTGAGGCGCAGTGCAAAATTTGCATTTATGTATTTGATCGAAATATGTACATATGTATGGGTGTGCCATTATGCAAAATTACGGAAAGGAAGCAAAGCAAAATATATTTTGTTAAAACAACAGTGAAAGGTAAACTATGTGCGCACAGCTATACAAAATTGCACACACACACATACATATATACAAATATACCATAATAATGGCCTGCACCGTCGCTAGATGGCGCTGCACTCAACAAAAACCAGTTCACTATTGTATATTTGAAAAGCAAAAAGTATTGCAAAACTTTGGAAAACAAGTTCCGACGCTGTCGTCGCCGTCGCCGTCGCCATTGCCATCACCGTCACCGCCACCGCCACCGCCACTGCCGCAGTCGCAGTCACAGTCGCAGTCGCAGTCGCCTTTCGCTTGGCTGCTGCTTCCTTTGCGTTTGGCTGCCATTTGATTATGAAATGCGCCAAAGGCAGCGGACGCCCATGTCCAATGTCCGATGTCGGCGAGTGCAACGAAATAGCGTCAATGATATGGAAAACTTTCCAAGTCACATCAATTTTGTCCACTTAGTCACCGTTTGCTAAAATGCGTCACAAGAATATACGTATATACATGTATGTATGCATGTATAGGTTTTCATATTATTGCATTTAATTCTCAGTTCATTTTTCAACACAAAAAATGTCATACGAAAGACGGAAGTGTCGCATCGTAATTAAGACAAGTCGACAATATATATTGCATGTTACATCACACAATATATACATATACTATACTTATACATATGTATGTGTCTATGTGTCTTTCGCTATCTTTCTGTCATTTTCACTCATATTGAATGCCATTTTACACGCGCTGGCCAATTATTCAAGCATGCGAGTGTGTGTGTGTGTATGTGTGTGTGAAGCCCGCAGATGACTTTGATTAGACAATAGCGCTTTTCAAATCGCTGTTGACCTCGTTGTCGACCTTACAAAGTGCCCATGTTACAAGCAAACCATCCATCTATCTATGTATCTACATATCTATCTATGTATATGCACACATACATACATAAATCTATCTATGTACCTACATACATACATTCATATGCATATGTGTATGTGGCTACACGTGTGGCGACAACCCTCTTTGCCGCCCTCTTTTGGCGTTTCACAGCTGAGCGACCGTTGCGTTTGAGTGGGCGCCTCCAGAGGGCGCACCTTCCGATACGGGGTTCGCTTTGAAGTGTAATACATATACAATAAGTATATATATATATTATATACATACATTCTTATATATGTAAATATGTATATATGTATGTAGAGAGAGGCCATAAGTTAAGGCGTTACACGAGTTTTTGCTGGCTAAAAAACGTTTGATACCAAAATCTCAAGGTTTTTAAACACGACAAAGAATGTGAAAAAAACGTAGTTTGTCGCAACGGAACTTAAATACCCTAGCATACACATAAATATCATTACTGTAACAATTTAAACATTTTTCTCAAGCTATGAACTTTTCTGCATTCGATACAATACCGAATTAAAAAACACTTACCTTTCGATACTTTGTTAAAATTCCATTATTTTTGCTTTGTTGCTGCAATTAGAATGAGAGAATGAATGTTATTTAATTGCAGTTAAACAAGGTTACAATAAATATACTGTATATAAAATGAGAATTGTGCACATTTATACACGTGTACATAATGAGGTATTGTTTAGATATCGGCATTATCTGTGTTCATTGAATGGGGAATACATTAATTTTAGTATAAAAGCTTAATTATTCAGTTGATGCACACTGAGGCACCCTGTTTCTTACACAATGCTCAGCAAAGAGTTACATGGCTTCGCTCTCCCCTCTCTTACACATTTACTCTCCCTAGCACAGACACATACACATACACAATCTGAGCGTCGCGACGCTCACATGTGCGCAGTAAATGGAAAAAACAAAAACACAACCACACGATTAAATTGTAAACAAACGCAAGGTATCAACAGCAGCAGCAGCAGCAGCAGCTACGCCAGCAACATCAGTCGCGTTTACTTTTGCTCTTGCTTCTGCTCTTCCTCTTTGTCTGTAACGTGAGCACGTGAGTTCGTCTCGCTTCCACAAATAGTGGAAGGGGAACGTCTCCAGAAGAGAGGTGACAGGACAACAAGACGCAATTACTTACAACTGTGTGTGTATTTCTGTGTGCGTGCTTGCGTTTTATTTTTAGCCAAAAATTTCAAAATGCTGCCGCTTTGCAAATCGAGAGCAAACGCACATTCACGCTCTGAACTGTGAGCTAAAGCAACGTGTCGACGAGGAGCAAAAGCAAATGACCGCTCGGTCGAGCCAAGTGTGTGGAGAAGCTGAGGAAAGAGGCAATGCCTCCTGCGCATTGCACGATTTTATTTTTACTCGTTTTTCTTTCAGTTTCTTATTTTATTTGATTATGGAATACCAACAACATTTTACACTCGCTTTTGCTATTCTGCATCACACACACACACACACACAATTTCTCAGCTCTCCGCTCATTTACATTACCAACTGCGCACGTATAAAATTACACGCGATGCGACGCATTTTTGAATTCTTGAGTGTGTATGTATGTGTGAGTTGTTTTTATCGCTCTTTCATTTTATTTTACAGTTTTACAGTGCCCAATACGGCAACAAAAGCTACAAATTGGCCCCATAACAGCAACAAGATGAAAGCAAATAAATTTAGTTTATGCATATGTATGTTTGTATGTTAGTATATGCATATGCATATATAATGTATATATATAAATGTACAAATGTAGATAACAACAGCTGTTTGCTGCCTCTTTTGCTTTTTGTTTTCATTTCGAGTCTCGCTTTTGATTGTCCATTTTTGGGTATTCTCTTATCTATGAAGCCAAATCGTCTGTACACACATACATACATATATACGTAGATTTGTGTGTGTATGCATAATAAGTGAAAGCTGTAATGAATCTAATTGGCATTTGGATTTGAAAATAATTGTACAACGATTTGGTTAGAAATTAATGCGACCCAGCTCAAATGTTTACTGTATTCAAGCGCTATCGGAACAATTTTGTTACTCGTTCGCCTGAGCCCAGCTTGAACCGGTTCGCTTTTGGCTTAACCTTGAAGATCAGCAATTTTATCTTTGTGTGCGTGACGCTGCTGTTGCGCAACTGGACACTCTACTTCTAAAGTTCTTATTGTCGCTGCGTGTTACACAAGGCCAACGGCTGCTGATGCTGATGTAAATCAGTTAACCAAAATCTAGCACCAATAGCAACTGTTAACCAAAGCTTTAACTAACAACTGCACGATGTTGCTTATTCGTCTGTTCGCACCTGCGACGTGCCAGCTGATTGTGGCTCAAGTTGGCAGCGCCGCGCCTCAAATCTTGACAACTTGATAAACGATCCACGTTTCATACGAACATATATATGTGCATATACATACATATGTGTAAGAGTGAGCGAGAAAGCACTAACAAACGGCAACTTTACTCCACAATTAGAAAATGTGTGTCAATTATATTACAAAAAAAAAGACTCAAAAGCAAGTATTTTTCCTGACTTCACACACACCCATAGTCTCTCCGACACACACACACACTCACACTCACATGCAAGTAACTTGAGGGAGGGAGTGGAGCGAGCGAGCCAGCGAGTGAGTGAGCGAGTGGCTAAGGCAAGCAGACGAGTGAGCAAAAGGCAAGAGCGATATTTGAATTGCTTTTCTGTTATTTATTTGTTATACAAGCGTAACGCCAACGCTGAAGGGGGCGTCGCATAGTCTCCCAGAGAGTTTCTCTGTTTGTGTGCATTTGTATACATGTGAATGTGCTAGTGTATGTGTGATCTGCAATTATTCAACTTTGACGCTAACTGCAAAGCTTAACCGCGTGTGTCGCTTTATATTATATATACATATGTACGTCAATAAGTATATATATATTTATTTATATATGTACATGTGCGCATGTGTGGGTGGGCAAGCTTATAAGCTTTGGCTATTACGCTGTTATTGCTGTTCTATGCCATTGTATTACGTCACCAACACATGCGCAACGCACAGCTGAGTGCCTGCAGCGACGTCACACAGCACGCATACATGCGCATGTAAATAATTCAAAACATACAAACATACATCCATACGTCCATATATGGAAAATAAATACAAACCTTTTATCTCAAATTGTTATTTTTTGAACACTTTTGCTGACTACGCTTTGCTTTCAAAACTTTTGATTTTGATTTAATTTTGAATTATGCCTTGCATTTTCAACTGTTCCGTTTTGTTTGCATTATTTTAACTCTTCACCGTGTTAGTTTTTTGTCGCCGTTGTTGTTGTTGCTGTTGCTGTTGCTGTCGCTGTTGGTGTTGCTGTATTTGCTTTGTTTTAGTTCTTGGCGGCTGACAACGGCAGCAGCATTCCAAATTTGAACGTAGCATTTGAATTTTCAACGGTTTTGCGTTGCGTTTTTAACGTGAATTGAAATCGACTCGAACTGAACTCAACTGAATTGAAATGAATTAAAAGAGGACGTTTGCTTCACGTATACACACGCACACAACTAATAAACAGCCGTATCAGTCTCTTTCTCTCTCTTTGCTGCTCAATGTCTATATGTATGTACTCTACACGAGAACGCGAAACAAAACATAAAAGAAAAAGAAAACAAACGTCAGCAGGCAACTGAGAGAGTGTGGTAAACTTTGCACTGGGCACCTGGGCGACTAAACGCAATAAAAAAAAAATATTGAAAAACTTGTTCACTGCTTCGATTTTAATATTTGGCTGTTCAGTTCTTGTTTTATTGCTGAATATATATATATATATATATATACACATATATCTATGTATAATGTATATATTTTAGTCTCTTGCACTTTTGCTGTGGTATACCAGCAGCCAGCCAAGTTTTAGCTTGCTTCGATGGAGCTTTTGCTTCACTTTGCTTTGCTTTGGCTGTCTCTCGATTTTGGACCTCGGACGTTTTGATGTTGTCGCTTACGCTGTCGCTGCTTGAATGAACGCCAGCGCTGCCAGCAACTTTCTAAAACAGCTGAGCGAGCCAGCCCAGCCAGCCACACGACGGCAGCAGATAAATACATATGAAGGTATATACGCTGCTTGCTTTGTTGCTTGTATATGTGTGAGTTGCTTATGTATAAAGCGAACATGCCTTATATACATGCATATATGTGTAGCCTGTGTGTGTGTGTGTGTGAGTGTGTTATGTACTGAAACTACGCCGTTCATTTATTTATGTACACGTTTATGTAGCTAGTTTTGGCATGGCAATACGTATCACAAACACTTCACGTTGCTAGCGACATATGCTGCCAAGATCAACAATGTTGCATCAACAATGTTGCTGCGCATGTATACAAAAATCATATGGGATTTCCACTAGATTGAGAGCCAGAGAGCCCAAAATATAAGAAACAGCACGTCAAAACATATGCGCGACAAGTAAAAAGGAAATGAGTATATATTGTGAATTCACGTATGTACATATAAAGGCAAATTGTTGGTGTTGTTCGTGATAGCGTTTCAATAACAAAACCATGCAGACAACGCGATATACACACACACATACATGCATCCATACATACAGCGAACCCGTTTCCATATGTTTGATGGCTGCTGCTGCTTCTGCTGCTGCTGTCGAGTCGTTAAGTGCTGATGTTGCTTTTGCTTTATATACTTATTCTTGTGTGCATGTACATATCTATATGGCAGATTCTATTTTCTGAGTGTGGCTGCGTGTGTATGCGTAGTTGAGTACTTGTTGGCTTCTTACTTGCTTTTCAAAGCAAATAAACATCGCAAAAACGCATGCGCCGCCGTTAGCGACCCAGACAACAACGGCAGCAGCAAGGTTCGATGCGATACGATTGATGTTTCCTTGATTCTTTTTCTTTCTGTCATTCTTCGGCCATTGCTTTGGACTGCATCAACGACCTTATCAGTAAACACCCACACACCCACACACCTACATACCTACGTGCGTACATAATTTATTATTGTTTTTCTCATCGGCCAAGCTGATATGATATGATTTGACTGCGATTTGCGCTCTGCTACGTTCCGTTCCGTACTGTGCACTGCACAGAAATAAAATCACTTAACGGCAAGACCAAGCGCTAACTTTAATGACCCAAGCAACCAATGTCGGAGGACATGCGACAACAGCGTCGCGACAACAAAGACTCAAACAAAAAAAAAACAAAAAACAAAAAAAAAAACCAAAAGCAAAAGCAAAAGCAAGAACAAAGAAAATGCTCAGCGTGTTCTTCTTGTCTGGGTTCTTTGGTCTGACCTGCCGCGCTCTCCTCACAATCCCTAACACATACACACTCACACACACACATACGTATTTATTATGTCTGTCTTTTGCTGTGCCAAAACAGGAAAGCAAAGAAATTGTTGAACCCTTGAATTTGGGATTCGTCTGCCTTGTCGTCTGCACACACACACACACACACACACACACACACGCATAAACACATATAAACGTCCGTGAGAGGGAAGTTTTATCAGCATAACTATCTACATTCATATGAATGTATATACATATGTACATATATTTG